GTGGAGCTAGTGTCAGTAGCATCAGTTTGATATCCATTTGCAATGCTTCTGAGATAATTCACAATTAATTGACTGGAGCATTTGTCCTGCAGTCGACCTGTTATTGACCTGCATTTAACCTGGTTCAAACAAGTTTTGCATTCTCACAGACTTGGATGGTAATGTAAAACCCACTTGAAGGCAACAAGGCCCTTATGCTGTTTGTTTCTGTTTTCTTCAAGAAAAATGCATAAAATGCATCACTTGATTGTGTTTTAAAATTTAGAAGGATTATTAATTTTCAACCTTTCACTCACAAGCAAGATTTTAATTTGGTTTTGTTTAAACCATAAGTTTATAATTTCATATAATCAAAGCCATTTGTGAGAACCATAGAGCATTCACAAATCTGGCTTCAGGACAATGTCCTGGGGTACATTCATAAGGAAGATCCGGGTGTTAATAAACGTACATGGAAATTAGAGGATGAGCAAAATTCTGTGTCCAAGCCCTGAGGATATCCACGATAAATTGCATAACTCTACCCTAAAGCAGTAAAGCGTTCTTGTTTTCCTCACAAACCTAAATTTAAAAGAGCTCTTTGAAAGTATCCCAAGAAACATTTTATTCTTATGGGAATGTAAATTACTCTGATGACACAGACTGTTCAACTGCAGTTAAAAACAGCAGCAGCTGGGAGGGATTGTTATGGAATCTTGAGTATTAACTTTGTTTTACTTCAAAAGATCCCACCTAAGAACTGAAATTCTATGCTATTCATTAACCTGTAATTGTATTTCTGAGCCACAATAAATACTGGAGGATATCTCCCGTCTCATACCAAAGGCCTTTCTGGGGAATTATGTGCTGTAATTGCATCCTGTTTTATTTCCATTTCCACGAACAACATCACACTGGAGAATAGAAAAACTAAGCAAAACCTAAATGGTGCACATTATCCTATTCTTAACAAACCGCTTCACAGCTCATGAAAAACACAATGTGCACACTCAGTTTATTGATGCTGTGGGCTGTGTCATTTATAAGGCACACAATGGACTAGGCTCAAACTAGTTAGGCTTATTTTTACTGATCATGTATAAACTATCATCTATTAGGTGTAAGGAGGACATACCAGTTAAAAAAAATCTCAAGCATTAATATGCAGGCTGTTTCTATAGATGTGTAAGTTATTATATCATGAACAAATTGGATTACAGATGATCTTGTGATAGAAGCAATGCCTCAACCCCCCAAAAAGTATGGTAAACATGAACAGCAAGGGTCTGTGCACATAAGATGCATTGGGCAAGTCTTCCCTGTGCTGCTCTAATGCATAGCCAAGAACATTTGCCAAGTTTGCTAATGTCAGTGCAGACCACCGCAAATGCAGTACTTTTGTTTTTCACTGCAGTGTGTTGTGACGGACTACCCTACATTGCAACACGCACCAGTGGCCGCACGCAGAGTAGTTCACTCTGCTGGTGTGAATGGACCATGAAGTCCATCTCTTAAACTTTTTGTATTTTTATTTCAGATTTTGGTAAGAAAGTGTGGAGCCTCAATACAATTGTTTTTATTGCTAGCTGTGTTCTCACTGGGGAGACTTTCCTTTACAGATTTTAGGCAGAACAGGCAGTGAGGGAAAATCACCTTAACTGGGACACAGAAATAAATAAAAAACAACAATAGTTTTCACTATAGAGGAGTTAGTGTTAGGTCATCCATGTATACTGCACATCGCAATTGAGAAGATGTCCTCCTAAGTAGGGACAAAGCATTTTAAACCTGACATAGATTCTAACTGTTCCTTACTATGGGAAAATTTCTTTTTTGTTTTTTTTTTCTATTCTGACATCGATCGTGTCAGAATAAAGAAAAAAAAAGACACATCAGTGCTTCTCTCCTTGGCGGCCGGGAGGCTCCCAGAGCACCCGGGAGAGTTTTTTTTCTGAAATTAGCCATACCAGCCTGAAGTGAATAGCCGAACAGTGTTCGGCTCACTTCACTTCAGATCGGTCATTCACTCGGCTGCCCTCGGCAGCTTCGTGAATAGATCCCAAAGTATTGTTATTTTTGTGTCAAAAAGATTTTATTAAACTTTTTCCAAAAACATATACCACAGCACAACAGGTTATTGTACCAAATTAAGGATAGATTGTGGGACAGCAAGAGAAAGCAGCCTGCGCTGGATCAGACACCTGCACCAGCACTGGAGAGACTGCTGGAAATAAGTGGTCTTTAAAGCAGCATTACAATGGGGAAAAATGGGAGGGTTTAATGTCACTTTAAAGTTCAGTTAAAGAGAGAATAAACTAAAGTATAAATATATGTCTAGATTGAGAATTATATAACCCAAACGGATGAAGTATTGTTGGTTGACTTGATTTAAACGGTTATTACATAAAAGGCTTGGCAGACAATAAATCGGATCCTTTTTACCTAGTGTGTTGGTATGGAGTATTTATAGTACTTAATTCACTATAACCAAGTTCGTTGTAGTGTTCCAAATGTGCTGATGTACATCTAGCCTAATGCACATAGATGTATTTTTCCAGCAGCAAATTGTTCATCTGTTGGAAAGAATGAATAAGACACAGGTTAATGCCTGGAAGACTGACTGGTGCGGGAACAGTGTATGATGGTATCAGATAAATCAAAACTAATATAGTTATTAGTGCAAGGTAGGCTATTCTGTTGTCTTTCCACTGAGTTGTTTATTTATGATCTCCACATTAATATTAAGTGAAGTACCCACTGAAATGTTATGTGTTCAAAGTCATCAGAACATGGTAACAAGTTTTTTGATAGAGTACATTGTGTGTCATAAATCTGGTTAGTTTCATTCTTGTAGTTTGCTTGTTATGCTTGTTTGCCATAGGTTTGGGCTATTATATTTTTTTATATATCATTTGTATTTTTGTATCTCACAGAGGTTCATTTAGGGGTCTATTATGCTGTTTCTTTTTTTTTTATTCTGACACGGAGCAGTTCTCCATCAGGTCCATGAGCAGAGGGTGGGTACAATGCTAGTTTACTATTGGCTATTGCAAATTGAAACAGCCAATAGGAATCTAGCAATGCATTCCAATGGGCAAACATTTATTTATTTATTTTCTATTCTGACACAGTGTTTCTCTCCTGGGTGGACGGGATCGGGAGGCTCCGAGAGCGCCCAGTAGAGTTTTTTTTTCTTTTGTTTTTGACGGCAGCAGA